CCCCCGCCCATGAAAACCTGCAGTCCCCTAGCTCCTTAACCAATCGTAACAAGATTCAACTGCCAATATGTATCATTTTCAATGTAAAAAATATGCTCATCCATTGATATATCTTTCTGCTAACTAATGATGTGCTGTGTGTTTCATATGGTCATTCTAGGTAAAAACAGTGTCTCATTGCAAGGAGAAGACAAAGCCATGCAAAGATATCGCAGTCTAAATATGAATGGAGATGTTGTGGCTAAGGTACTTTCCTTTTTACAGTGTGACTACTATAACCGGGGCCACCTAGACAGAAAGAACAATTTGATTGGCTCTCGCTATCTAGGTGGACCTGGTTATAGTACTCCCACTGTAAGTCCTCATACATCTTTTACATGTCTTTTATACTTGCACTTAACTATATTTCGCGTATAGCAAGATCATTAGTGTTTCAAGTACTGAAAGATGTACAATTTAATATAAAAGCTAGCTAGAGAAAGACTAATAGTATGTTAATTTCTTTGAGATGGAGTATGCACTAATAATTTTAATGCACTATTAATTTATAGATAAATTATATAGCAACAAGGTGTTTGACATCATTTTTGTGATTTTTTGTACTCCATCCTGAGCTCCTTATTTATAAATATGGCATTTTTAATCAAAATCTCTGTGAATGATATTCAATTCACTGAACATCCATATCATTAATACACTGTTAGTTCCTTTTAGACTCAAACAAATCTCTTTTTTTTCCATCTATATCATTAACGCATGATTATTTACATCTATATCATTAATACATTGTTAGTTCCTTTTAGACTCAAACAAGTCTCTTTTTTTCCATCTATATCATTAACACATGATTATTTACATCTATATCATTAATACATTGTTAGTTCCTTTTAGACTCAAACAAATCTCTTTTTTCCATCTATATCATTAGTATAGGAAATCGCACGATCTCGAGTACAATTTGGAAATTAATAGACACGAGTAATGTTTTGAAAGTTCTTGTAATTGCACGAGTCTTTAGGCGAGTACAATTAAAGAACTTGCAAAACATTAAGAGTGTTTATTAATTCCAAATTGTACGAGAAGATTGTGCGATTTTTTGTTTATAGTTCACTCAACAAAATTTCAGTAAAAAATGCGAAGCGACACCGTTCATCTTTTTCTATTTGGCAGCCGATTTCCAGTCCATCGTGGAACTGAAATGCATAAAAAAGATTAGTTCTTACGGCTTTAAAATGTTATTTATGCTTTTTAAGTACAAAATGATAGAAAATAATTGTTTTGACATTGTTTTGGCCGTGTTGCCATAGCGACTTAATTCGGTACTCCTACGGAGTACAATTAACGCTATAATTGTACTCCTCTCAACCAATCAGAGTCGAGTAATTTTGTTGAGTGTACTATAAAATACATAATTATACAGCTTCTTATTAATACCATTAGGTAACTGTCCAATTATTTTCTTAATTGGACAGGTCGTGTTGATATGGGATTAATTAGGCAGCTATATAATTAATAGGTAATGGGATTTTATGCTCCCCAATCTTGAAATAATTAGACTCGAAAAATCTCCCTGACTGCCAAATTGGACTCGGCCTACGGCCTCATCCAATTTTGTCAGTCCTCAGAATTTTTCTCGTCCAATTAAAAAGCATGGAGTCCTATTACATATACTAATTATTCACATCTATATCACCAATACACTGTTAGATCCTTTTAGACTCAAACAAATCTCTTTTTTGTTCTTGGATGTGCTGAGAGTTAGAAAGAGTTTTTAAAGGACTCCCCATGCACACATCCAAGACAGCAAAAAATTATCATGATGGTATTTGTCAGTGTCAATTTAATTTACAACTTCTTTTTTTGTGCTTTCTAATAATTCTTGTTTGTTCACAGTCCTATTACCAAGGAGAGGAGCCAGGCAAAGCAACAGAGGTGTAGTACATCCATTAGTCATGACAGATATCAGACAATGATTGTTGGCATATTAATGCTCTGGCTCTGGACCTTTGATATCTGGAAGGATTTAAAGGATAACAGGGTCAAGAGGATTAAAATAATACATGGCCCAAGCGTAATGTTCTTACTCAGTCAGTATGACAACACAGCCATTCTTGATCACACATGATCAACAACAGTGACGTCAATCATCTGTAGTGAAATGAAGAACAATTGTATAGAATACAAGTGAAGACTCACGTGATCTAGTTTTACATCAGCTATATGGTTGAGGATGGCTGCTTATTTTTAAACTTTTTTAGCTCTAAAGTACTCAGTGATTCAAGGCAGCTTGTCATGTAAAGATATTGACAGAAGTACGTTTTTACTCATCAAATGATCAGTTAATTTGGAATTGTTTAAATCAAGATTTTTTGCTTTGTTTTGTGACCAATATGTCACTTTCTATTATAGTCGGTTTCACATTACTTTGCATTATCAGGTTCCGAACTTCAGAAATTCCCAAGTTTGGCAACCAACTTCGGAACTTTGAAAATAAGTTCATTATGAACTTTGAACTTCCTGCCTAAGTTTTGAACTTGGTTTAGTATAATAATAATAATAATCATGGGAGTTTCTCATATAGTGCATTTCAAATGTCTCAATGCACTTTACATTTATGACCAGTGGAGGACTTTATGGGCTGCATATTAAGGCGCTTACACAGACATTCAGGAAAGTCAAAATGATTTTTTAGTAGCTATTTTATCAATATTTTAATAACTGTACAGTAAGTGATAAGTATCTTAGATACCATGAAGGTGGTAGGTAATGTTTATCGGAATGTAAATAGAATAGTACAGCTAATTACACCTGAAAATACAGCTTTGTTAGCTAAGGAGGTCAAGTAATCCTTTTTTCATCAGTTGGATGGCAAAGTTCCAAGTCATTTAACATGCTAGTGCTAGTACTGAAATACTCCATTTTACAGTTCCGTTCCGAGCCGAGGCTGGAGTTTCCGTGCATGATAAAAAGTATAGTTTTGCTATGCGCAGAAACTGCAGCCTCGACTTGCAACTATTATTCATGGTCACTCGAACGGAACTGTAAAATGGAGTATTCTTTAAAATTCTGCCAAATATTTTAATTTAGGGTTAATTAATATTGAATCTAAAAATGTCTTTGTTTGCTCTCCAACACTGCAGAATGTGGGCAACTTGAGTTGCCAGATTCTAGAGATGTTGTTTGTTCTAACAAAACATTGTACATATACATTGGAGTGCCATTATCTTAAACCTCTTGGGGAAAACGTTTTTAAAAAATAACAGGGCTTCAAGATATCCAGGTATCTACACAAGTTTAGTATCTTTAAGGCTTTTGCATGTTGACATGATATTAAATTTATTGAATTAACGTAAGGATTAAAAAGTACGTAGATTTGACAAAACGTGGCGTTTCAGCTATAACTTATGATAACCGCTTTCTAGCTATTATGATGAAGGCTATCACAAGTTATTAGCCAAAACGTCATGTTATATCAAATCTACACATTTAATCCAAAATCCTTACATTCGAATCAAATATATCTCATATGATGATTGTGAAATCACACTGGTTCAGACACTGCACCATCTACATTACAAAATTTACAACATTGTGAACCAATCTGACACAGGATTAATGCTTCATTACAGCACTACCATAGCACAATATATAAATCTGCACTTACAATTATAATAATGAGTTAACTTGAATAAATAAATCAAACATTTTCAAATTTCAAAAGTCTGTAATCTGCTATTGCAGCTCACTTTATACCTGTTGATATGTAAACCCTCTAGATACTAATTACGTCAATATATTGTACTTACAATCATGATTGAAAGAATAATACATTATAATAGGGAATGTAATAGCTTAGAGCTTTGTAGTACAGTAATAAATCAATGCCACCAATGATAATGTATAATGTATATATAGATTGAATTCATTAAAGAAAATAGATGATAAAAAGTTATTTTAGTGTGTCTTAGTTTCATTACAAAGACACCAGTCCTTAGCTTTCTATAATTATTATAAATAATTTTTTAATACTGGAAAAATGACAAACATGAAGTAGCCATTTTCCTAGCCTCTACAGGGGATAATAGTCTGGGCAAGCACGGCTCTTACAAAACAAAACAAGAATTTGGCACATTTCTGAGAGCAAGGCAAACTAGAGAACCTAGAGAAAAGCCCTCGAGTCAAGAGCCCAACATACTTAATCCATATGTGATGCCAAGAATGTTACTGCAATAGAGGGAAGGCATTTAACCCATGAAATAAACAATGTTAGTCAACATATATATAATGTAATAGGGTTTCAACACTAATGAAGACATAGACGTCTCGAACAAACGTCTGATTTTTAGACATTTTTAAGAACTTACACCCTATAAATTATATTTTTCATACTATAAGTCAAAGTCAATTAGACAGAAAAGAAGATCAAGTGGTTTTCATTAACCTGTGAAACAAAGTGTACTATTTAGAGTGTAGTATCACAAAAAAACTAGAAAACAAAAGAATTATCGTGAGGTAGTTGCTTCATACCCTAAAGTGTATTTCAAGGGTTTATGAAAACCCCTCTAATGTAATTAGGGTCTACAAATTTATCTATTTCACAGATTTAGTAACTTCACTCTATCTGTGTTGATAGAATGTGAATGTGAATGGTTTACAATGACAATTATTACTGCAATTATGCCAAGTGCAGGAAGTTAATATTGAGGCTTGTAAAAAATGATGAACAAAATCTCAAATTACCATCTTTTATTCATCTTTATCTTTTATTATTATTTTACAAGATGGTGGAGTAGAATTGATGTACATTGATTCAAAATTACTCCCTTGGGGGTAGGGGTGGGGTCCATAATAAATTAACCTTCTATGAGAAAAGTAAGGCATTTTCCTATCTAAGTTTTTTTAATTTGAAAATTGATTTTTAAAAATTTCAGAAGATTCTTAAAAGAAGCTTTGATTATTAACCGATTGTTTTTAATGCTTGTTCCAGCAGCAGTTAACAAGTGAATATTTTGACCAAAGGATAATTTTAAGGATATATGTGTGAGGTTTCCATTTTTAAGGGGCGTTACAAAGTTGTTTACCTTTAACTTAGCTCCTTTCATGGAAATAATGAATAAGTTTTTGATATATCTTTTTGTCTTTTTGATATGACAGCTATATTATTTCATTTCACATATTCCTGGTTAATTTTACAACTAGCTGGCTAGCTCAGTGCTTTGTGGACCATCACCTAGTGAAGTACATATAATTCGGATGTTAAAAGTTGGAGTAACTAACAGTAAACTCTCATACGATTATTCAAAATTTTGGCCACTTACTTACCAGAATTTTACAAAGCAAGAACATGTTTTATGTGTTCACTAGCTTACCTGCTCATAATCACCCTTTTGAAAGGGTGCAAAATGGTCCAAGCAAGACTTTGCAAAACCTCAAGACATTTATTTTAAAATGTGTAGTTCCAGAAATTATCCATACCCTCCCCCCAACAAAGGAATTTGAAATTCCAGAGGGGTAGGGGGGTCAGAGAAAGAACAAAATTACAGAGTTTGTATGGAAGAAAATTGGAATTTCTGGGTTGGGGGGGGGGGTTATAGATAATTTCTGGAACTACACAATTTGAGGCAGAGACTTTGGGTTATTTGTTAATGTGAGCTCAAGAAGTTTCAAGCTTTCAAGAATTGTGAGGCTCTGAGACTGGGTTGTGAGAAATGTGAAAAACTCTGGAACAGCAATGAAGAAAAGCAAGACTTGCAAGATCCAGTAATTTCTTAGGACTAAGCGGCACCCCTTTTTGACTGAAAAAATACAATTTTATATGCTACAATTCTTGGTTTTCACCCACGTGACCAACATCTTGACGACGGTTGCTAAGCCGCCATATTGGTGTACCACGCTGGTATCGGCCATGATAGTTTATCGTAATGGTTCTCTGTTTGTTCGTGGATTGCAACGCTAAAAGTGGACGAGATAAAGGTATTTCTTTCTTTAGAGTACCGACAGTAATTAAAAACCAAGGAGAAGAAGCCGAGGAGTTATCAATTGAACGCAGAACGAAATGGATTTCCGCTATGAGTCGGGCAGACTTGACCGAAACTGTTGTGCTGAACAACCGTGTTTGTAGTCGCCATTTTGTTTCTGGGAGTCCAGCAGCAAGTTGGGACCGATATAATGTGGATTGGGTGCCTACTCTACACCTTGGAAAGCCTCAAGTCAAAGTGAACGCTAAAGATGATGCTGAAACAGTGCTTGCTCGATCGGAAAGAGCAAGATCTTGCAGGAAGAAACGAATCGAGCTAGCCGAGCAAGAAATGGCCAAGAAAAGGCTTTGTTTACAAGAGAAAGGCGAGACTGTTCGAAGCATTATTTTTACTGGTCCAGAAAGTAAGAATAATGATTTGTCATGTTTTGTAACTGATAATATTACGAGTGAAACCCAGACTGACATGCAAACAAATGACA